GGGAGGCGGAGGAGGGGCCCGCGCGGCCCCTCCCAGGGCCCCATCCTGACCTTTCGATGGCCCAAGACGCGGCGTGGAGGGGCGGCGACGTCGCCGAGGACGTCGCGGAGGCCCTCGCCTTGGGGGTCGCCCCTGTCCGCTGTGCGTGGCTGGCCCTGACGGCGCGCGACGGATCGCTCGTCTGGCCGGGCCAAGCGCCGCTTTGGATGGCGAATGCGCCCCCGCCCCTTTCACCCCACGCGTCAGCCCTGACGGTGTTCCCGCCTTCGGGGCGATTTTTGGCGGGTCAGCGCGTTCTGTTTACTTCGCCGGATGCGAAAATGGCGCGTTTGGTGCGCGCGGCGGGGGGCGTCGTCCTGCCTTTGGGTTCATATGGCCCGCCGGCGGAAAATTCGTTGCCGGATTTCGTCTTCATCCCCTGCGGCTGTCGGGCAAAGCTCGACCTCCACCTCGCCGCCGTCCCGCTGCTCGAGGACTCTTGGCTTCGGGAGGCCTTGGCGAGGAACTTTCACGCCGCTCGGCCACTGCCGTGTTCTTTCGCCCCACTTCCCGAAAACGAAAAGGAGAGTCCCAAGCTACGCTCGGAGTTATTTTTATCCCCTTCGTGCGCGCCCGTTTTGCCGCGCATGCCGTCGTTAGTGGATACTAAAAATTATCCCCCTTTCAATTCCACCAACGCCGCCGATGAAAGCCCTCGTTCGGAGTCTTTACTGCTCTGTGGGATGGTTGATAAGGTCGGCGCGATCTCCCCGCTCCGGGGGCGGTCCTCACGCTGCTACGACCACGATCGCGAGGACGACGAGGAAAGTGAGGGAAAACCGGCGGAAGGGCAGGGAAACCCGGGCGAGATGGAAGACATCGAAGACGACATCGACGCGGAGGCGGAAAGGCCGCCGATCCCGCGCGAGTTTCCCGTTCCTCGCCGCCCATCGCTCCAACCGCGCGGGGCTGCCCGGCGGATTGACTGGGGCCCCCCCACCGCCCCTCCCCCACCCGAGGAACACGAACGAGCCGGGAAGGACGGCGGAAAGGGGGGGATTTTGCAGGAAATCGAGGACGGGATCCTAAAAGAGGGCTGGAAACGAAGCGGATGGGGTCCGTCGTTGCCCGGCCGCACCACCTCCTCCCCGGCGGCCCACCCGCCTTTCCCGCCCGTCGTCCTCGGGGAGGATTATTATTTTTATCTCCCATCGAGTGGTCATGGGCGGGGCGTGTTTGGCGAGATCTTGGGAAGTGATCGGGTCGAATCGTGCGGGAGCGTGGGATGGGAGGGTGAGCAGGTGGCGCCTCGGGTCGCATTAGGCCGCGTGGTGGAGTTTTACGAGACGCCGCATTCCTCCTCTCTGACGATGATTAGCCTCCAGCATTATGAGGTGAAGCACTCTTTTTTACAGCAAAACCCCTGCACAAACGCGCTGGTGCGGCAAACCACGATTTTTCTCAGTTCTCAGCGCAGTATTGTCCCGATTGAAGCCCTGCTTTTCGATACCCCCGTTTACGTTGTGCACGCTTCTGCGATGCCGCATATTTATATCCTAGATCCTTCCTCGGATAGCGAGCAGAGGGTATTTTCCGTTGTGGTGTGAACTCCTTCACTGCATTATCACCGCCATGTGGAGTGAATGACGCCACAACGCCTTTTTAGTATTTCTTATCAGGAAGTAGAAAAAAAGGAAAAGGGTTTTTTTAATATGTTTTTAAAATTTTGCGATGCCAAAACGCCATTAAGATATTAAAAAAACTACCAATCTAAAGTAATTTAGATGTAAGGGATAGTGAAATAGAGATAGGAAGGGTAGGCGGGTGAGCTCATGTGGCGTTCACTTTTCGTGTAAATGAAATTTATTGTCAAATAAATAATAATAATAATACAGGAAATATTTTGATTTTGCTTGGAGATTTTACGTTTAGTATTTAGTTGCAAATGTACCCTTTCCATTTATCTTTATCGCTTCTTTACGTGCTTTATCAAATTAGTTTATGTGTTCATGGCGAGAAGTTTAATCTAATTTTTATCTGATTTGCTTGATTTTTTTATCTCATAAACATTTAAATGACAATCGATCTGTTTCCAATGTCTTAGTATCATTTATTGTGTATTTTCCTTTTATTCGAAGCTGATGCACTTCTTTCTACTTTAGACTACTTCAACTCGTTTAATTAGTTTATAGGGTTGAAACACAGTCACGGCATCGAAAGTGTATTTACCATACAGAAACTAGAACGTCTAAAGCTCATTAAAACAATCCACATGCATTAACTTTTTAAGAACTTCAAAATACTTTTTAATTTTAAAATTTGAACCCTATATCTCAATCTTATTTAAAAAAATTGTAAACGTTCTGATCTTTATATTAATTTAATTCCCTACGAGATGATGGCAAAACCTGACTCCGCCTCGTTGGCATCGGATGCCTTAATCGATCTGCACGATGTTTCCTTTCAATACAGCAAAGACACCTACTCACGATCGTTGTTTTGGCAGCGCAATAAAGACCCCTGCAAGGCTTCGCGGCTCATCTTGCAGGGAGTCTCCTTCCGCGTGCAGGCCGGGGAGCGGGTGTTGTTGCTCGGCCACAACGGCAGCGGAAAGTCCACCCTCCTCTCGATCCTCGCGGGCCGGCGGCTGGCGAAGTCGGGCACCGTCCGCGTGCTAAACGGCCAGGACCCCTTCCACGCCACCACCACCGCCGCCGCGATCGCGCTGGTCGGGGAGGCTTGGCCCTCAGAGGCCTATTTCGGCTGTTCGGTCGCTCAGGTCGCTTCCGGGGGAGGTGACCTGTCCGCGCGCGCCATCGCGATCGCGGCGGCCCTGCACCTCCCCCTAAACCACCCCGTCGACGCCCTGAGCGCGGGGGCAAAGCGCCGCCTGCAGCTCCTCCACGCCCTGCAGCACCCCGCCTCGCTTTACCTCTTGGATGAGTGCGGCGCCGACTTGGATGTGGGGGAGCGGCGCAC